GAGATGCTACCAGGATTTCATCTTAGGAACCATACACACTGTTTTATTGGTCTGGTTTTTAGCAGTCAAAAACCTCTGGAGTAGACATGTTGAAGTTAAGAGAAGACATAATACTATTTTTTTTTTTTGAGACAGGGTTTCTCTGTGTAGCTTTGCGCCTTTCCTGGAGCTCACTTGGTAGCCCAGGCTGGCCTCGAACTCACAGAGATCCGCCTGGCTCTGCCTCCCGAGTGCTGGGATTAAAGGCGTGCGCCACCAACGCCCGGCTGATATAATACTATTTTTAAAAAAATTCCCCAAACCACACAAATGTGGATGCAATGCTGGTATCCTTAATACAGCTCAGTCAACATCCAACCAGAGGTTTTGAACCTTCTGACCTTCCGTTTTTGTTTTTAAAGACAATGTCTCACTATTCAGCACTGGCTGGCCTGCAACTCTCTCTGTCAAGATCAGAGAACTGCCTGCCTCTGCCTCCAGAGCACCAGGATTAAAGGTGTGCACCAACCACGGTCCAATTTATCTTTTTATAACTATCAGAATGATTTGCTAGCTGGACCATGCTTTGGGGTACCACATACAACATGGTCACAACAAAAGGGGGGCTTGGCATGACAACCTGCATTTGAACTCCAGACCTCACATAAAGGTAGGAGAGTGAGAACAAACACCTGGTGGTTAGGTTAGTCTTTGACCTCTACAGGTGAGGTGCAAGCACACACACACACACACACACACACACACACACACACACACACACAGCTGCAGGCAGTGAGCTAGAAGGAAGTACAGTTCATATATTCAAGTGACTAAAACAAACCTAGACAGAGAGGAGAGAAGCCTGTGTTGATATTTATAACAAGGAAAGATGAAGAAACTCTACCACCCCTCCTGGTGAGGTCACCTCCTCACAGGGGTCAAATCATGGTCCTCAGGGAAGGCAGGAGGACACCAACTTCTGCATCACTGGGATGGTCGCAACAAGATTTTGTTTTTTTTCCAGACAGGGTTTCTCTGTGTAGCTTTGGAGCCTGTCCTGGATCTTGCTCTGTAGACCAGGCTGGCCTCGAACTCACAGAGATCCGCCTGGCTCTACCTCCTGAGTGCTGGATTAAAGGTGTGTGCCACCGCTGCCCGGATGAATGGATTTTTTTTTTGTTTGTTTGTTTTTTTTTTTGTTTTTTGAGACAGGGTTTCTCTGTGTAGCTTTGCGTCTTTTCTGGGACTCACTTGGTAGTCCAGGTTGGCCTTGAACTCACAGAGATCCGCCTGCCTCTGCCTCCCGAGTGCTGGGATTAAAGGCGTGCGCCACCACCACCGGCATGGCATGAGAGAGAGAGAGAGAAAGAAAGAAAGAAAGAAAGAAAGAAAGAAAGAAAGAAAGAAAGAAAGAAAGAAAGAAAGAAAGAGAGAGAAAAATGAGAGGAGGATGAGAGGTGGTGAGTGGGCGGATGAACTCACTGTGGAAGACAGAGTGTGGGGCAGTAGCCTCAAAAAGAGTTTTGTGCAGGAGTGTTTTGCAGTCAGGAGGTAGCAAATGGGCTCTGTGTGTGTGTGTGTTTGTGTGTGTGTGTGTGTGTGTGTGTGTGTGTGTGTTTGTGTGTGTGTGGTGCTGGGAATGGAACCCATGCCATGTGTATGCTAGGTAAATACCCCATTATTGAGCTGCATTTTCAGTCTCAGGTAGGCTTTGATGTCATCGAGACTATTGGATTTTCAACTTGGGCAGAAAATGGCTCTTTTCTGAGCTGCTATGTGAGGACCTGGAAGCCTAGAGATCGCTGACTTACCGAGTGCTCAGTGGTCCATCCCATGCGAAGAGATTAGCGACCCCTAGTCACGTCTGGCTCCTTCCACAAATACCAGCCTATCTCCTGGAATGGGTCAGCCTTGGGGATACCACCACTGAACCACACTTACAACCGGGAAGAGATAGGCTGGAGAGCAACGTGGAGAACGCAGGGGAATCTAAAAAAGTCATCCTAGCTTGGCCCCGATCGTGCGCCACTTTGGTAATTCTCCCTTCCTCAGTGGGTGTTGAGGAATTTGGTTCTGGGTCCCCTGGATCAGTCCTGCTACAGCTTGGATATGCAATGTCTGCCCAGGCCTATGTGTGAAGACTTGGGAGAAGGTGGAAACTTGGGAGGTCAAGGTGGGGGCCTAGCCAGGGGAGGTCCCTGGGAGTCTACCCTCAAATGAGACCTGGTCAGTCTCACTTTGCTCCCCAGCTGTCAGGTGAGTAGTTTTATCCACTGATGGACTCACCATGCCCTGCCCCCTACAGATCCCTAAAGCAACAGGCTAGCTGACCGTAAGGGTGAAACCTTTGGAATCGAGAGCCAAAATCAACCTTTGTTCCTTCCAATTATTCCCGGTCACAGGGATGGAAGGCCAAAACAGACACTAAACCCTGGGTGACTTACTTCAGGGGTGACACTTACGTCAGGATTCCTGGCTCAATTGCTTGTCGTGCTGACACTTTATTTACACTTGCATTTTTCCAGAGTGAGGAGCAGAGGCGGTTGTCTTTGAAGGCCCAAGATTGGATGAAGCCAAAGGATTTAATTAGTGGTTTGTTTGTCCACCGCTGTAGACATCAAGATGTCAGAGCCGTGGCATGCGCCTTTTTCAGGGGTCACACGGAACAACACAGCTGAAGAACATCACCGAGTGGGGGGGGGCACGGTGCACTGTGTGTGTGTGAGCGCCTGTCTGTGATGAATGGAGGGACAGGTATTGCAGGAAGACAGGAAGCCTTAATCAATGTTGGTAATAGCCACCCATGCATCATGTGGAGGGGTCCCAGGCGTGAGGGGCAGGACCAGCAGCATGTGAAAAATGAACTGTTTGTAAATACAATCAACAGTTCCGTGTTTGTGAGAAAGCCATTTGTCATTCGGAAGCCACATTTGGTAAAAGATGTACCTGGCTTCCCGGTGAGACGGGCCATCCGTCGCTGCCACATCATGGGCCCAGCCAGCGCGGGGCTGTCAGAAGCCCTGGGAAACGCAGGAATGTTTATTCCTAGTTGAAGACAAGTTGAGTCACTTTAGAAAACAAAATGGCACTCCCTGAGAGAGCACTGGCTTGCATCAGGTGCCACAGTGAGCTCCCCGAGACTCAGAGAGGGCAGAGTGTTGCAGCCTCTCCCAAGGGCCTACACGCCTTCGCAAGAAGGGAGGGAGAAGTTCTCAGAGCAGGAAGGTGGTTTGCTTGAGGTCTCCCGGGGTCAGAACAGGAAAAGGATAAATGGGGCAGGGTGACACACAAATGATTGACCCTCAGCCTTGAGCAGAGGGGCGAAATTCATGGGCACTTTTCACCTTTAGGACTGTGCCTTGTTAAGGCCTGGAACACTGGGATTGTGTTGGGAATTGGCATTTACTGGGCACAGTGGTTAGCCTGAAGCACACTTTACAAGACTGAAGCTCCCCCACAACCTTCTGTCACCCAAAGACCCCATGAGTGTGCCTACATAACAAGCTCGACCCGTACAGAGGCGCTTTGACAGTCCAAAGTGGCTGTGGGGAAGGGAGGTGGATGCCACTCCGTGGATTTAATGGTGTGGCCACCACATGGAGAATCCGGTTTAGGGTGCTTGGAGGGGCGGCTGCCCAAATGGCTCCCCGTCCAATAACTGTTGAGCCTGGAGCTCGGGGGGCTACCTGGAGGCAGAGGTCTACATCGGCTTGTTCTTGCTGAGTGGCGTCTGTCTGGGAACAAAATGCATGCCAGCTCATGGCGGTGCTCGGAAAAGGAGGGACAACCTGGAGGACCCACAGACTTGGGAAGGGTGGGCTTCAGGTAGAGGCAGTGGCTGTGGTGCTAATCTGGTGCCATCTGAGGTCAGGCAGAGGAGCCCCTGGCAGCTGTAAGTGGGTGTGAGAACAAGGCCGCTTTGCCTGGGGTTACACGAGCCAAGGGTGTAGAGGTGAACACAACGAACTCAAAGAGTCGGTACAGTTCCTGGCTATGAGGCTGGGGGAGGCTTAGGGCCTGGTGATCTGCAGGAAGAGCTATAGGGTGGAGGCACGGGCAGGGGACTTGTGGTGTCTGGTCTGGGTACTCCTGTCTGTCCTCTCTGAGAGAGGCTGAGTAAGGGGGAGGATAGGAAGTCACAGAAGGAAAAATGCCTCAGTGGGTTAGAGCACATACTGCTCTTGCAGCGAGGACTGAGTGTGGTTCCCAGCACCTGCATCGGACAGCTTACAACCACCTGTAACTCTAGCTCAAGGGGGCTCTAATGCTCTCTCTCCCCTGGACTGTCGGCACCTGCACTCATGTACACATGCTTGCACATGCGCGTGCACGCACACGCGCACGCACACAAAGTTGAAATAAAAATCTTTTTAAAAAAAAGGAGGAGGAAGAAACAGGAATGTAGACTGGGCCCATCTAAACAGCTCAGAGGCAGCAGGAAGAGAAGCAAGAGCCAGCCACCTACTCCTATACACACACATCTCACCCACCCACCTACCTCCACATACCCTACACACATACATGTACACACACCCCACATACACACACACATATCCCCCCACATGCACACACACATCATGTGCACATACATGCACAGGCATCTATGCAGACACATGCACACCCCCAACACACTCATTCACACACACAGGCATGTACACACACACACACACACACACACACACACACACACACACACACACACAGATAGCTGTGCCTTTTGGAGTCAGTGACACCTGGAAGGAATATTACTGGGGCTGAGCATGTAGTTCTGTGGGAGAACAGAACCTGTCTGCCTTCAGCAGACAAGGCTCCAGATCCAGTCCCCCCAACCCCAAATCCAAGGGCCCTTTCTCATTTGTGGCCTACTCTGGACTCGACCTGGACGGAGGTGACTCTGATGTCACTATTGTGTATTGTCAGACATTGCTTTTGGACACAAGTTGTAATGCATTTTTGATCCTTATCTAGCCAGTCAACTGACAATGAGACCACCTAGGCATAGCCGTCCTGGGAAGTGTTTGTCATCAGGAAATATGTATCATTTATTTACTACGCAAAAGAGGGGGCATTATTCAGCGCAAGCATCCCTCCTCTTTCTGAAGCCCTGTTTCCATTTTCCACGTCTGACTAATTTTTAATCTCAGTGACTGAGTGGTGAGGCCGTTGTCACTTGCTGGCGACGGGGTTTAAGAAGCGTGTGATATATGCTGCCTTCACCGGATCCTTTTTGGCGATCGTTCCCGTGGCATTGTGAATAAAATGAGTTCAGCCTCCATGTGATTTCAGCGAATCCAGGCACGAATGCAGATTAGATGCTATCTTTATGCAAAGGCTCCACCGAGCATGGCAGGCGGCCATCTCCGTGGTGACGTCTGGTCCTCATCATTCACCAGCCCAGGAAAACAGCTATTTGCCTAACACCTATTTGTAAAGAAGACAGGAAGATAGCATCGTTAATAACCCTGAACATGGGCTACGATTTATAAGGCAGCCTCACTGAAGAGGCAGGGAGCGTGTTTGCAATAGCCGCTTTCCTCCTGTGTCCATTTTTCCTGAGACCTGTAAACTGGAGTCCACGTTCTGTTCTTACGTCCTCTCGAGATCAATGTTCAGCCCACTCTGACCTCCCGCCAGGCCCAGCGTTCAGACCCTTCTGTCTGAGACCCAGCAATGGAGCCGCTGCTGCAAGGACTTCCTGCCTAAGGGCCCTGGCTGATGCCAATCCTCCCCTGAGGGAGGTGAGAACGTGTCAGGAGTGGGTCCTGCACTTACCCAGCCTCCACTCACAGTGTGTGGTGCTCTCAGGACCTTGCCAGCCCATCCCTTCTGAAGGCCCCTAGGGCTCCTCTCAAGGTCCAAAGAGGCTAGTCGGGGCCCACATCCTACCCGAACCGCCAAGGCTGATGCCCGCATACACTGCTCCATCCATTTGTGGATGGAGACCAGAGGGAATTGTCACAGTGTGTCACAGGGCTGCAAGAGGTTTCAAGTCAGGGGAAGCGGCCTCACTTCCGGCTCCTTCTGTGCTTCCCGGACCCACCTCTGAAATTCAATACGTGCACAAGGCCCTGCTTTTGAGCTGGCAGTGTTCAGGACTTACCGTGGTCTGTGTGTTCCCTCGCTTGGGATCTCTGTCCACTCTATCCTCCGGCTGTATCCACTGACGGTCCAGAGTGAGCTCCACGTGGTCTCTCCGATGCCTTCTTCCGGTCAGTGCGATGGAACAGCAGATGGTGCCTGGCTTGCTGCGAATGCTTCAGACTACATCGGTGATTCCTTGCGGGTGAACCCAGCACAGCAGGGCAGCAAACATCTTGTTCACGCCTCTTGAACTCTTCTGCCATGCATGCTTCGTGCATGTGCCGTATGCAGCACTTGTGGGGTTGAGATAGGTGGTATAGTACTAGGTCTCTGCATGGGCATGGTGTGTGCACGCGTGTGTGTGTGTGTGTGTGTGTGTGTGTGTGTGTGTGTGTGTGTATAGGAGGTATAGTACTAGGCCTCTGCATGGGCATGATGTGTATGTGTGTGTGTGTCTGTGTGTGTGTGTGTGTGTAGGAGGTATAGTATTAGGTCTCTGCATGGGTATGGTGTGTGTGTGTGTGTGTGTGTGTAGGAGGTATAGTATTAGGTCTCTTATGGGCATGGTGTGTGTGTGTGTGTGTGTGTGTGTGTAGGAGGTATAGTATTAGGTCTCTGCATGGGTATGGTGTGTGTGTGTGTGTAGGAGGTAAAGCACTAGGCCTCTGCATGGGCATGATGTGTGTGTGTGTGTGTGTGTGTGTGTGTGTGTGTGTAGGAGGTAAAGCACTAGGTCTCTTATGGGCATGGTGTGTGTGTGTGTGTGTGTGTGTGTGTGTGTGTGTGTGTGTGCGCGCACGGTAGGGTTTGGTGACCCTTCAACATCTGTCTGGGTAACTTATAATCCATGTGTGGGTGCCGTGTCCTGCCTTACCACAGAGGCTCTGGGCTTGCAGTAGAGGAGATGGGACCTAGCCACTGTGCTGGGGACAAGGCACAGAAAACAGCAGGGTCATCAGCTGTCCCTGGTGCCACTCTTTCCCTGGGACCAGTCTACCGGTGGTGATGACCTGCTCCTTGGTGTCACTCTGTCCTCGGTGTCCCCTTTCCTTGGTGTCCTTTTGGTATCCTGCACTTCTGAACATCTTTTTATGCAGGAACTTGGGCCCAGCCCCTGGGAATTGCTCTGCCGTGGCTGTCCCTTTCACACAAGGCCTGGGAACAAGATGCATGAGAATCTGGCTCTGTCCCAGCCTAGGGACCTCTTTGGAGGTGCCCAGTGACTCCTCCTCCTGTGCTGCAGGCCTTCTGCCTGGATCCCACACCTCGCTCCCACTCACCTTAGAGATGGAGGCTCCTGCACTTTCTGTGTCTTCTTGGCCTGTGCACTGCTCTTTCCTGTTCCCTCTCCATTTCCCCACACTCAGACCCGACCTCTTCCATCACCTTGTAACCCTCTAATTATAGCTGTTTTGTTTTTCTCCGCCTTTGGTCTGAAAGCCTTAGCACTCAGGCAAGCCTGGTGAATGGGGCATTTTCAGTAGACTGTAGGCAGAATTTTTTGTTGGGACCACTGGCTCCCAAATAAGCACATAGAGGCTTATTATGAATTGTAAATGCTCGGCCAATAGCTTAGGCTTGTTACTAATTAGCTCTTACTTTTTTTTTTTTTTTTTTTTTTTTT